TTAAAACATCTGTATTTTTCCCTTGCACGAAACAAGCAGTTTCCCTGGACTCTCCTACAACCCAGCCCATAAATTAACCTTCCCCCAGAACGCAAACCCCCTCCAGTTTCAGGAAACAGGCAGTGTCACAAGAAATCCTGACAGGTTCGTATTTCTGGCACCTCGAGGGCTCACTGGGCACACAGAGGAATCGATCTCCGCGGCGAGACTGGCAAACATCCGTGGCTTTACGGCCGAACTGCTCTGCTCCTCTGCCTGCACCTCTGTGGACACCCCAAGAAGCCTCTTTCCAACCAGCCTTTTCTTTTTCTCAAATAAACCCCCCTGACAACGAACACGGAGGAAGATGACACAGCTCCCACAGATGTGGTGCATCTGTCTCGGGGAGGTGAGGGGGGGTCCCCGTTTCCAGCCCCGGCTGTTTCAACCCGCAGTTGACCCGCTCTCCCTACGGATAAGCCATGGTGCTGAGCAGCTCAGAGCCTGAGTCTCTTCTGATCAATTTAGACGTGGATGGAGAAAATGGAATAGACGTTCGGCATATCCCTTCAGTTTTAACCCCCAGGCGACTTCTGGCTCATTGTACCTTCAAAGCTGATTCAGGCTGAACGTTCGGCCTTGGCCGGCACGGTGCTGCACGGGGCTGGCAGGGATCCTCCCGGGCACACAGCCCTTGGCTAACGGTGCCACCGATGGGCAGTCGTGCCCCGGAGCCCCTGCACATGGCTGGGACCCCTCGGAGGGCAACGCTGGTTTTTAAGGTTGCGATCTTTGGGAGAGTGGCAGGAGGTCACCGGGACAAAAGGATGCTTTGCCAGAGCTGCTCCACCTGCCCAGTTCACGACAGGTCTGCCACCGCCTCCTCTTCCCTTCGGAGCTTCTGCTTCCTCCGTCGCCTTCACTGCGTCTGCTTTCCATCGTGCTCAGGCAGGACCGGGCAGGACTCATCCCTTTGCAGTCACCGTAACCATGAGCTCCTCTCCTGCCCGCTCGAGTCGGGCACACACCACCGCTCCAAGGGGGCCGTGCAAACGAGTGCCCATCCATTGCTCAAATGTCTCTGGATCCCACTACCTCCCTCCCCAAACGGTGCAGCCCGCTGTCAAATGCTCTGGTAAAATATCTGTAGTTAAAAACCTCATAACTACTATAGTCTTCATCAAATAACAAATATCCCGGAGGGAGCTTTGCATCTACGAGGTTGCTGCCCTGACCTTGTGGCAAGCCTGGGGGCAGGTTCAGCCCTATAAAACCGTTTCAAAGCACTTATTGTCAGGAAAAATCACCTGGAGACATGCCTTGATATTGCTATGGAGGGCATATAAATCACGCTTAATTATCAGCCCACAGAGCGCCAGCACAGCCCTGCTGGTGCGATGCCAGGGTGCAGCGTGGGACCCATAGCGTCAGGTAGCTGCGAGACGGACGAGATCCTCTAAGGCACCAAAGGCTTCGGTGAGTCGGGGGGTGCAGACACCAAGCGCAGGCACAACGCTTTGGTTATGGACCCCCAGCACAGGGGGCATCCTCCATCGTTTTGATGGCAGCCCTGAGCGCTGTCCTCGGAGAACCCCCAGCACAGGGGGCATCCTCCATCATTTTGATGGCAGCCCTGAGCACTGTCCTTGGAGAATCCTTTGTGGCAGTTTCCTCCCCCAATTCCCAGCGCTTACACCTGCCGATTCTCCCTGAGAACCCTTTTGTTCCCGAGCCAGCCCACGGGCCCCCGAGCCGAGCTGGCACGCGGTGACTCACTGATGAAGTTGGCCTGGCCGGTGAAGATGGTGTACTGCAGCTCGTAGGAGCTGACGCTGAACTCGTCCTCCGAGATCCAGTGGACGGTGATGGTGTCGTGGGAGGCGGTGCAGAGCTCCTCGCGGATGGACGGCGGGTTCGGCGCTGCGGGAGAGCACAGGGAACGGATTTTGGTAAGTCTGTGCTTTCTTTTCTTACTATACGGAGGGCTTTTTGCTCCCGTGAGGACAGAGCCGGGCTCGCACAGGGAGCAGAGTCTATTGACACAAACAACCATCGTTTAATCGGTCATTGTGTTTCCCATTAACTAGACTTTTAATGTAATAACAAACTACCCAGGGGCCAGCGTGTTTCCAGGCGTGCCGGAACGAGGGGTTTTTGCTGCTGCCTCCGTCAGGTCTAACACCTCCACCCTGAAACGAGCTGAGAAGCCGCTTCAAAATCCAGCTATTTCTGGGCTAAGAATAAGTATTCTGTCCCATAACTGTTCTGGTTGCACGTTTATTGTCAATCTGTTGTTGCAAGCTGGTCTGCCTCGCAATGAGGAACACTGGATTTGGGTGAGTGACGATGTCCTCACTCCTGTGGGATGCTCCTCCTTGCGCCGGCAGGGCTGCCCCCGTGCACCCCGGCCGAGGCCGAGGGCAGCGTTTAGCCCCTGCTGCGGGTGCCAAGGCAGAGGCAAGAGGCCCAGCCAGGCCCTTGCCCACAGAGTTCATAACTCAGCACTGAGACCCACAAAAGGGCAGCAAAAGGGAAACGCTAAAGCACGTGGTGCATTAGGGTCACAACAATTGGTTAAATCCCTGTTCTCTCTCCGCAATCCGCCCGCTCGGATCCTTATGGCCATCAGCCTCCTCCCTGGGCCATGGAGACTGTCCTTTTCCACCTGCCCTCCAGGAGAGGCAGAGCACAAACAGGGGACAGGGACATGTCGCTGTCCTGGTGACAGCACGGCCTCTGCTCTGCCGCAGCCGACCGGGCGCTTTCTACCGGTGAGCACCAGCGGAGCCCGGGTTTGCTCTAACAGCTGCCTGGCAGCCCTTGGCAGCGCAGGGCAGGAGGGCTGCGGGGAGAACAACACCCTGGTGCAGGGGAAGGTGTTCCTGCCCCCGGGAGGGGGGCTGGAACTAGGTGATCTTTGAGGTCCCTTCCAACCCAAACCATCCTACGATCCCAAGGTGTGGGATGCCAGCGGTGGGGAGCACGCCCACGCACTCACCCGTTAGATAATCCAGCCCCTCCAGCAGCTTCTTCTCTCTGGAAAAATCTAAAGCAAAGTTTTCAAAGGCATCATTAAAATTGATATCTGGTATCAGAACTTGAGAGGATGCAGTTGCCATGGCGACCCTGAAAGAAAAGAAGAGACTGTCAATAGGCATCAGGGCGCATCGCTCCCGGCACCCAGCAGTGGCAGGGCAGGGGGCTAAAGGGGTGCGTGCGGTGATGGTGTCACGTGCCGCCGGGAGAACAGCCTGCACCTCCTAACTGCTCCTGCCCCAGGGGACGGGTCCCCAGAGAGGTGAGGGGACTCCATCCTTGGGGGGGCCCATTCCCAAATGCCCCCGAGCTCCCTTTGGATTGGCATGCCCGCCACTTTCACCCCAGGGAACGACATTTGCTCCCACAGGAGATGCTCAGCTTCGTTAGGACCCGCCCCGCAACTCCTGTCCTGCACGGGATGGGAACTGGAGACACCTCTGGGGCAGCGCGCTGTAGGGCTGCGGGGGGGAGGACAAGATGCCCCGGGGTGCCCCGAGCCACACGCGCCAGCCCACCTCTCGGCCACATTTCTAGCCGTCTGCAGGAACCGTGCATGGTCGTTCTCCTTCAGGATGTGCTCCGCCTGGTTGATGAGGACCGTGGAGCGCTCGAGGCACTGGCGGCAGTTGGCGACCTGCTGGGCCCGCTTCCGCAGTGCCAGAGGGGCAGAGGGACGCAGAGGTGCTCAGGAGCTGGCACAGAGTGTGAAGGGCACAGAGAACCCCTGTCCTGAGCCAGGGGCTGCTCAGCAAGGAGCGGTGAACGGCACGGAAACGTCCCCAGAGCTCTGGGGAGGGAGCGCAGCGACATGCTTTCCAAGTTAAGCTGCGCTCGCAGGTGGGACAGCCCCGGGGAAAAGCCTCCGCGCTGCTCCAAGGGTGCCCCGCGGGACGGGAGCAGCACAGCAAGGCACCCTCTGCGCCTCCCCCGTGCAAACGCAGCATCACCCCGCGCCGGCTCTCGGGGGGTTTGGCCGGGAGGGGATGGCTCCCGCAGAGCGATCCAGCGCCGGGCACGGGAACCACGCGCCGGCTCAGCCCCGGTGGAGCTGCTGGCCACACACAGGCTGGAGGCCGAGGA